ATTCCCTTTACTACTGTAAGATATCAACTTCAGAAATAACCACAGCCCAAGTGTCACATTCAAGGATTCATAGCAACAGATTACCAGTTGGATCTCATCAACTTCATAGGCAGAACACATCCATAGAGTAACAGAGACACATACCCAGTGTCTGTTCTCTGCTTGGCTCTATGCACTACCAGAGTCTACCTGCCTCTCCCTGCCTACACTCTGTGTGCATCTTATTGAAAGGTGCACAGTCTCCAGCAAATGTCTTGCATTTCCTCTGTGTTCTTTCCTGTACTGTGGAATTTCAGAGTCACAGGATTCTGAGCCTGAAGGCAGCTCCCCAGCCTCATGAAGAGCACTTAGATCCCCTGACCAGTGACAGACCTGGCTGTGTCCGCTGACGAGCACTTCCTCAGCAAAGTGCACCTTCACAGGGTTCATCTTCAGCCTGGCTCTCTTTTCCTCAGTCAGGAAGGATGATTTGGGGACTCCCTGCAAAACATTATGCATAACAACTCATTTTAGAGCAATATTTTCCACAGAAAACCCGTCTGCCTTCTCACTTATGAAAAGCAAAGACTGACAACTGCTGAGGATTCAATTAAACCCCTCAGGAGAGGACAACATCCCATACAATGTCTTCATAAAATCAAGGTATCTCAGCCCCAAACAATGTGCTTATGTGTTTGAGAACAGCTGAGGATTCAATATCATAGGAAAGTGGTGATGGTGCATTGAAGACAAAGAGAAGTGGGCTGTAGACCAGATGATCTGAATTCCAACCCAAGTTCTGCTACTCAACAGTTCCAAGAACTACTTAATCTGTGTAGCTAACAGAAGAGCTTCGTAACAGCTCATAGGGAAAGTGCCAGAAACACCACTTACTGATTTGATATTTACAGACTAATATGATGAAGTACACAAAGTGAACAAGAGACTATGGATTTTTTCCTTCTAAGTTTCATTTATTTTGTTGTTGTTGAGGATATATACACCAAATATATGTATACGACAAAGCATGCACCAATTCAACAAATTTCCATTTGGACAATTCAGTGACATTGATTCTATTTCCTGAATTATACAGCCATTCCTGCTCTCCTTTAAATGAGATTTTCCTTCCTCATTAAAATAAAAACCACTGCCCTCCAGGGTTCCTATCTAATCTTTGCTTTCTGGGACTGTGACGTTTTAAAATATATCATCATAATCAAACGGCTGTGTTTTGATGGGCTTCTTCCCACTTCTTAAATGTTTAGGGAGTATTTCCACAATGCTTTTCTCTATTTTCACATGTAATTATTATTATATACATCACTGACAATAAATATCCAGTGAAATGTTCACATTCTTACGGTTTCATTCCCTAACAACAAATAATATGAAGTGAAACTTTGCTTTTTTTCAAATATTTAAAGCAATGTCTCAGCATATTTCTTAAATAATCATCTTCCAATGACCAGGATGCTATGATTATCATATAGTAAAGTCTACAGTATCTGTTCTTGGACAATCTGTTCGATCTCACTCATATGTTCAGCATTTCATCAAAAACACACTGACTTCACGATTACAACTTTACTGATTTTAAAATCAGGTACAAGTCCATCATTACTCTTTTAAAAATAGGTGTGAGGTTTTTTTTGTTTGTTTTTTGTTGTTGTTGTTTGTTTGTTTTTAATACATCTCACCTTGATATACTTGGTAAAAAAAATAAAAACCTCCCAGGGATTTTGTTTGAAGTTTAATTCAGCCTATAAGAATAACTTATAAATTCATAATACTTAGCCTGTCTACCAGGGAAGATAGTATACCTCTCTTTTTACATTCAATTTTTTAAAACATCTTTTAGTAATATTTTAGTCTCTTTTAAGTAGGCCCACATATTTCTTCTTTTTTAAATTTCCTGTTAACATTTTCGCACTTCTTTTGAAAAAATAAGCTCTTGGATTTACTAATTTTTATAATTTTTTAGACGCTTCATTTAGATTTCTTATTACCCTTTACTTTCAACTCTTGCACTGAATATTTAATTGACCTATTTTCTCATAAATAATTAAAGCACTTCTAAAATAATTAAAAGGCTATGAATGTTACTCTGAGCATAGCTTCAACTGCATATAACCACTTAAACTGATTTTGAAGCTCCCAATTTAGTGCCCTGATCATGGTCCCACTCTGCACAACAAAGGGCTCTCTCCACAGCTGGAGCAGAGTCTGGAGGCCTGGGCCCAGCTCTGTTCTCCTCCCACCCCCAGCGCCTGCACATAGCAGGTCCTCTGGCAACAAGGACTGACTGCCCACTCCCTGGCATCCTCTGCCTTTTGCTCACAGATGGGTGAAAATGACACACTGGACATAGAAAGACATTTACCGACGTGCAGCGAACAACTGTGATTGAAATAGAATCCTCAGCTTCCCTGGAAAAGAAAAAGGGTAAAAGTATTTAGTCAGTGTGTGTGTGTGTGTGTGTGTGTGTGCGCGCGCGTGGGGAGGGGGGGTGAGTATGTGTGTGTTTGTGACCAAAATGGCTGGCAGAATTACAGGCCTCAACTTCTTTGGCTCAGTAAAATCAAGAAGGGCATGTGGAGAGAAGCAATTTGCAAAGGAGCTTGAGCTCTGCAGGAGTGTTAACTTTTGCCCCCAACAGGAAATCATTATACACTCATCTCGACCATCTAGTCTAAAACCTATAGCTACCAAGTAAAGACACGCAGCCTTAATTTAGTCTCTTGAATGGAGAACTCATCTAGTTGACATGACCACTAGCTAGATTTATGTACAAAAAAACCCTAAGGGAGCTTGGGTGGCCGCTTCGGAGATGATTCACAATAAGCTGAAGTCTGAGTGCTATAAAAAGCATATATTAGTCTTATAGATATTTGGAGGATTTAGAGGGTTGGTTGATACTATTTTTTTTTTTGCTGGCCAGAAACAGCTTCACTTCAAAGTTTATTTTCACAAGATTCTCTGCATGCAGTATACTTTCTATGGAAAATTACTTTACCCCAGTTCAAATTATAAATTAATTTACAAATAAAGAATTGTGTTGGAAGCATCATTTATAAAATCTCATAGTTTGTCACAAAAATATTTAAAGAAATTATTTTTAAAAAACAGTGCAGGAGTATAAAAAGTTTCTTTGGGTTACTTTTTGCATCATTTTTAAAAAGTAATGCTGATGGAATGTGTGGTTGATACTATTGTTGTAGCATTTTACTTTGCTTCACATACCCCCTTTTTACAAGTGGCAATGAATAATGCATGCTGCTTTTAGACACAGGGAATTAAGTGGAAATATAAGCAGTTCTGGGATTCTAACTCACGGTATATGCTTGAAGGCACAGATGTAACAGCACACATCAGATCATGCTCCTGCACAAAAGCCTTCAATGACTCAGCTCTCCAGGAAGAGACAAGCATCTGAACTTGTTCTTTGGGCATTGTTGTTATGTGCCACTGAGTCACAGTTGACTCACAGTTGATCCTCAAGCACATTTTCAGAGGCTATACATTGAATGGGCAGAAATTGTCCATACTTCTCCTGCAGGATAGCTGGTGGTTTGGAATCAGCCAACTCCTGATCCATTAGGTCATCAGAACTACCTTGGCCACTGGACACTCTCAACTATCAAGGTCTAATTACCCTACACTATTCTCCTGGCCTGGGGAAAGTGAACAGCTCAGTAATGCTACTGTTGTTGTTACGTACCACTGAGCTGGAACTGACTCATAGCTGACCCTCCGGTAGGCTTTCAGAGGTTGTAAATATCACAGGAGGGGATTGCCTGTCTTTCTCCCATGGAGCAGCCAGTGGACTTGAACTGCATGCTATTTGGTTTGTAGTGAAATTCCTTACCACTGGGCCATCAGAGCTCCCCTAGCAATGCTACCACTCTGCCCTAATGTTCTGTCCTCTTCCCACATTTGCTTCATATTAACACTTTACTGGAATCACTCTTCACCTCCATTTTTGCAGGGCCAAATTCTACAGGGCATTTAAGAACTAGCTGAAATAATTCAAGGCCCTTCCTTAGGTGGTAACTTTATCATCCTCTAAGGTTGGAGGAATTAGAGGAATTTTATATGACCCGTATCCTCTGCTTCCTTTATGCAGTGTTTATCGTCAATCTTAGAATGATGTACACAAATTATATCTGCATTACCAGTCTATCAGTGTCTAAAGAACGAAGTCTATTCACTCCAAAGGGCTTCTTTTCCAGAGCAGGTGCTCACTAAGCAGATAGAAGCAGAAGTCAGCTATATCCCTGCACACTGTGGCATTATGCATGTTACCAGAAGGTGGAAAAGAACCCACGGATTTAGTGCAGATAAATGGATAGACAAAATGTGGTCTATACATTTAATGGAATATTACTCAACCATTAAATGGAATGAACTTCTGATACATGCTACAACGTGGATGAGCTTTGTGATCAGGCCCTGGTTGCATGCACAGTGTGGAAAGAGAAGCATGGACAACAAACCACAATGACACCAGCTAGAAGGTGGCAGATCTTAGATCAATGAAGCTACATCCCAGGCTACATGCACAAAAACATTTAAGAAGTAATATGAAAAGAGTTCGAGAAACATTTGCAAATGGTTATCCATTTAGTTCAATCTTTGGCATCTACAACTATAACCCTAACACCTTTAGAAGGCTGTGCTAGGTGAAATAAAATGGTCTCCTTGTCGCTAGAATTTCTATTTCTCAGATAAAGGCCTCTTCCTAGTTCCAGCCTGTTCAACTACTAGTGGAAAGCTGAACTGGCAACAAAACAGGACATTGCGGGAATGCTACAGAAATCGAGCTGGCCTAAGACTAAACTTCAAGGTAAGAAAAAGGCGCCAACAGGTGCCCAAGCAAGACTTCTTCATGTTGCAACAGTGAATGAATATTTTCTTTTTTTTTTTTTTTTAAAGTGGCCTGGGAGAGGAGGAAGGGAGGGGGAGGGGGCAAAATATGCAACAATGAATGATGAAAATCTAACTTCTCTGTAAAATTTCTTTAAAATCACAATTAAAATAAAATTTTATTTGTATATAGACACCCCCCCCCCCAACAGCAAGATCCACTAATTTCTAATTTGAGAACTCAGGCCTCCTGCATTCAGGCAAAACCAAGTCAGCTTACTGCTTCACACACAAGCCTTGTATGGTTGATTCGAGTACTCCCAGTCTGCCTCCAGACTCACCCTCTCTTCTCCAAGCCTTTTGGGTAGAAGATGTGCTTTCATCATGATATTCCCCATAGGGCCTAGCACAGTGCTGTGGGCAGAGTGAGGAGCTCAGTAATGTAGCATTCTGATACTTCCCAGACTCTTGTGTAGGAGAGGAATGTGTGCAAAGACTAGCAGCCACCACGAGCAGCCATCTTCATAGAGCAGAAATGCAAAAACGAGGCTTTCTGGCCTCGTGGAAATCACAGAGCTTGGTCAAACCATTTCTGTTGGGATCCTTGTTCTGTAATAACTTGTGCAGCTCTGTGGATGCTGAAAGACAATGTAGTACCTGAGAATATCAATGGCTCGTTCACAGGAAAGATCTTCAGCAGGCTCGTTGTTCATTTGGATAATCTGGTCACCTGGGTAAAGCTTGCCATGAGCAGTGCCTCCTGTTGGACAGAAAAGTCATAACAGATGTTCATGCCTGAAGGGCTCGGACCCTGTGCGTCATGGCAGTATGCCTGAAGGGACACTGGCCCACTCACCACCCCCCTCCCCAGTCCATCCAGCATTTGTGTGGATACATGGATCTCACCCTTCCTGTTTATAAATCATGTATAATGTAGCCACCAATCAACTTCAAGGAATGTTAAGAAAAAGAGTAGCAGACACCTCTTAAATCAACAGAGCTGACCAGTGAATCTATTACATTCATCTCGTGTGTGTGTGTGTGTGTGTGTGTGTGTGTGTGTGTGTGTGTGTGTGTGTAAACGGAAATGAATAGATTTTAACTAGTTCTGGATCTAACATCAATACATATGAAAACAAACACTGTACCTTTTCAGCCTGCTCCTCTGCACTCTGGCACAGCATCTATTTCACAAAGACCCAAGTGAAAACAAATCAATAGTTTCTATTACAGCTGACCAGAAATTCGGCCCAGCTTGAAGCATGGGGAATTCAAAGAGGAGCAGGGCTGCCTGATGTAAATACTTTCCCTGGTCCAGGTGTTTGAAAGCTCCAACCACGGCCAGCAGTAGCCTGGGGTTCAGAACACCAGGTGCACTTGGCACTCCCTCTCAGCACTAAAGGACGGTACAGGTGCAAAGCCCAATACAGAATAAAGTCAGAATGACTATTGTTGTTGTTGAGTGCCCTGAGTTGACTATGACTCATAGAGACCCTGTGAACAAACATCCTGACCATCTCCGATATATTCGAGCCCATTGTTCTAGTCACTGCATCAATCCATCTCAGTTAGGGTCTTCCTCTCCTTCACTGACACTTTATCTTTCCAAATATGATATCTTTTTCCAAAAACTGGTCCTGTCTGACAACATTCCCACAGCATGAAAACCAAAATTTGACTATCTCTGCCTTCAGGGAGCACCCACAATGCACCTTTTCCAAGTCATATTTGCTTGTCCTTGTGGCAGTCCATGGGATAGTCAGCCCTCTTCTCCAGCACCACAACTCTTCCAAGGGAGCGCTGGTGACATTGTCTATAGGGAGCTGTGCTTCTAACCCAGTTCCCTGGTGGGTCAAATGCACCAGCAGAGTGAATGATAAGAAATCTCCTCTGGTTCAATTTACAGCTTCTGAAAACCGCGGTCTACCTTGAGTGAAGCTGTTTTCTAACTGAAGCGGGTAAAAGTTTGTCAAAGGACAGAAAACCAGCACCATTTTCCCACAAGAAGTCAATTCCTTTCTAACTTCCCAGTCGATTCTTACCTGCTGTGACAGCCACCACTGTGAGCGGAAGGCTCTCAGAAATGTGAAATCCATAGTCCTGGAGAAGAGAATCTTTGTCTATCTTTACTGTGTGCCTCACGGGAGTGAGGGCCTGGGCTGCATTCCTAGAGGACACATCAACAGCAGCAACTTTAGCCCTAGAAGAGAAGTATGCAGAAAAGAGAGCAGGAGGATTCCAGTTAGTGACCACAAATAGGGGCAACCCTCAGCATTCTGACGGCAGAGGATACAGAGCCGAGCAGACACCAACCGTCTTCTTGAGAGGATGAAGGACAAGCAGCCTGAGGGGGAACTCCCAGTAGAACATGCTCTAGAAGAGGAGTTGTGAGTGATATTGATATGGGCACTCAGAGAAGAAGTAGCCCCATTTTAACTTTGTAGGGCACGGCGGGTAAAGAATCAGGGAAGTGTCTGTTACCTGGAAGAGCTACATCTTGGTAGACCATCTGCATTAAACATAAACATGGATCAAGGCCCAGCACACAGCAGATAGTCAAGAACTGATGCTAAGTGAGTGTGAGTCAGTGAGTGTGGTGAGATGGATCATTTTCATTTGGCTTTCCTTGCCATGAGTCTTATAAGTCTCATCAAATGATTGGATAACAATCCAATCTGTTCTGTGCCATCAAGTTGGAACCAACTCACCGACTCTCCAGTGGGTTTTAAAATCAAGAAAGGTGTGTGTTAGGACTGTATCCTTTCTCCACACCGAGTCAATGTGTATCCTGAACCTTCAAGAAGCTGGACTCTGAAGAAAAATGTGGCATCAGCATAGCAGGAAGACTCAGCAACAACCTGCATTATGCTGATGACACAACTTTGCTTGCTAAAAGTGAGGAGGACTTGAAACACTTGCTGCAGAAGATCAAGGACTACAGCCATTGGTATGGGTTGCATCTCAAAATCAAAACAAAAGAAATCTCACGACTGGGCCAACAGGCAACATCATGATAAATGGAGAAAAGGGTGATATTGTCAATGACTTCATCTTACTCGGATCAACAAAAACCCCCTTCCCCTTTGGCAGCAGCAGTCAAGAAATCACAAGACATTTTGTTGGTAAAATCTGCTGTCAGGGACCTTTTCAAAGTACTGAGGAGCCAATGATGTCAGTTTGAAGACTAAGGTGTACTCAATCCAAGTCATGGTCTTTTCAATCACTTGTAATGCCTCTGAGACCTGGACAATGAACTAGAATGATAGAAGAAAAATCAGTGTCTTTGATTGCGGTGTTGGAGAAGAGTATTAAATGTCCCAGGGATTATCAAAAGAACAAATAAGTCTTGAAGAAGGCACAGTCATAGTGTTCCTTACAGGCAATGACAGTGAAGCCTCATTTCACATATTTTGGGCATGTTGCTAGAAAGGGACATCATGCTGGGAAAGGTGGAGGGGTCAGTGAAAGATAGGAAGACTCTCAATCAGACAGACTGACATAGTGACTAGAGCAATAAGTGTGTCAGAGATGATGAGGGCGGCACAGGAAAGAAAAGTGTTCAGATCTGTTGTTCACGGAGTCTCTATGAGTAGTACTCAACTCAATGGCATATAACAACAACAGCATATCACACAGGTGGAGACTGTCTCTCTTTCTCCTGAAGAGTAACTAGTGGATTTGAACGGCATGCCTTTGAGTTGGCAAAACAACTCTTTACTACTAGGCCACCAGACCTTGCTAAATGATCGGGTAAACTCTGCAAATAATCTGTAGGGAGTTGTGCTACGAATCCAAAGCTGGCACCTCTCTGATGGTTCAAATCCACCAACATCTCTGCGGGAGAAAGATGGGTATAATCTCATGTGATTTCCAGCCTCTTGGAGATCCACTGGAGGCTCAGCTATGAGTCGGTTCCACCTCAATGGCAATGAGGGGTGGCAATATGAGTATGGCCCACTAAAGGGATTGGATAGTTTGCTAACAGTACAAATAAGGGGCGTGGCACCCTCATGGGAGTGAAGCCATGCAAATAAGATGTACTGAACTCTAACATCCCATTAGTGTGAGGATGGTGCAGGATAGAACAAGGTTCAGATCTTTTGTTCATAGGGTCGCTATGAGTTATACTTGACAGCACCTAACAACAACAGCAACAAAAGAGGTAGAAAGTAGGGTACATCACCATTGCTAAGAAGAGCCAGGAGTAGAGAAGATTAGAATCCCTGAACTGAGAACCTCCTAGAAGCAGAAGACAGAGAAAGTTGTAACAGGATACAGCAGCACAGTAAGGGCAGCGGTAGGACCAAGTAAACAACAGAAGATGCATCAAGGCAGCTGCAACAGATATACCGACTGTGGGAGTAAGGGAGCAGAATACCTTCAGGCCATGGCTTACTGGTAAAATGAGATTCATCCAAGCACTTATTGGCAGAGCTAAAGAGCTTCATAACACTCTCCTGAGAAAGGCAGAAGCCAAGGAACCCAGGGACTAAGGGCCAGAGACAGGCCAGCCAAAGGGTACGGCTGAGCCACTGCCCTGACTAAACATGGGAGCATGGGAACTCATGAGAGAGAAGGAAGAGGTCTGAGAAGTGAAACTTCTGATTGTTCCATGGCTAATTTTGGTCATTGATATCTTGATGACTAAAAGGAAAGGAAGAGATATTCTGCTGAAACAGAGAAGAAGAAGACAGCCGTTAGAAAAGCCACATCTGAAGTGGCTTGCGGCAAAAGCCAGGCCAGTTAAATAAGATGACTGATAAGTGGTTAGGATCTTCTGGTTACACACAGCCTGAGATCCAAGGTCATCTATATAAAAGAGAAGATGCTCAAGGAATGGAGAAGATGACATTGGGGTGTTTGAAAAAGGTTTATGAGTTTAGCTGAATATACTGACTGTTTCTTCCACACAGTGTTATAAAAGAGATCTACAGGTATGATAGAAATGAATATTGGGTATTCTCGATTAGAAAGTGTAACTCCGTCTTCAGCCAGTACATGACTGGGCATGATAAAAGGGGAAATAAATTTTACTGAAAAGAGACAGGTTGTTCTCTCTGATGCAGTTGCTGTTAGATGCCACAGAGTCAATTCCATCGTAGTGTGACCCAATGTACAGTGAATAAAACACTGTGGACTCTTGCACCCATCTCCCGACCATGATTGTGTCTGAGCCAACTGTTGCCGCTACTATGTCAGTCCATATCCTTGAGAGTCATCTTCTTTTTGGCCAACTCTGTGCCTTACTAGTTATGACTTCCTTGTCTAGGAAAGTCTGTTGTTGGTAGGTGCTGTCGAGTCAACCATGATTCCTAGTGACTCTGTGAGCAGCACATCTGAACCTTGTCCTATCCTGTGCCATTCTCATCTCTGACATACTTGAGCCTATTGCTGTAGCCACTTTATCTCCACATCTCATTGAGAGTCTTGCTTTCCTTCATTGACCCTCCACAGTTCCAACCATGGTGTCCCCTTCCAAAGAACAGCCCCTCCTAACAACATGTCCAAACTATGTGAGATGAAGCTTTGCCATCTTTGTCTCTAAAAAGCACTCTGGCTGCACTTTCTTCAGGACATATCTGTTTGTTCTTTTGGTCCATGGGATATTCCATACTTTTTTCCAACACCACACTGTTATCTCTATTCACTATCCAGCTCTCAGAAGTACAGCAAATGTTTGAAAAGACCATGACCTGAATCAAGGCACCTAAGTCTTTAACAATCTCTTTCCTTAGTACTAGGAGACTGAAAATAACCAGGGTTGGGTGAGGGGCACCTTAGTATCCAAATTGACATTGACCTTTTAACACTCTAAAGAGATATTTTTCAGATTTACCCAGTGTAATATATCATTTAATTTCCTGATTGCTGTTTCCATGGGTATTGATTATGGACACAACAAAATGAAATCCTTGACAACTTTAATATTTTCTATTTTTATTTTATTTTATTTTTATTATTTTGTGTGTGTGTGTGTGTGTACCGTCAAATCAGATCTGACTGGTACAGGAGGAGATTTTTCCTCCTTCTCCAGCAGAGCATCTGGTGGATTTGAACCGCGTACTTCTAGGATTGCAGTGCCGCTTCTTGCCACTAGGCCACCAGAGCTCACCCAATATTTTCTATTTTTGTGGATATTCTACTGCAATAATTTTCTATCTTCATCATAAGTTTACTAGTTTATGATACTGCTCAGTAATTTCTGCATTCTGCTTGGCCACCTTTCATTGAAATAAGGACAAAAATGGAGCTCTTTTAGTCAGGGGGCTAGGTAGCTGTCTTCCAAATTTCTTGGCATAGACAAGTGAGACCTCCAACTGTGCATCTGTTGGTTAATTGAGACCTCTAACAGTGCATCTGTTGGTTGAAACATTTCAGCTGATACTACATGAATTCCCAGAGCTTCAGCCAATGTACCTTGGACATCTTTCTTCAGTATCAATTCTTGTAAGCCACCTCCTGTAATCTGATGATTTGCTCTGGACTAAACTTTCCTTATGGGGACAGATTCTTAAAGTTCTACCTCGAATAAAAGATTCTCTAGATCAGGGAATATATTTGTCTCCTTAGAATTCTGATTTGATAGGGAAAGGCATTTTAAAAACTGGCTATGTAAAATTGAGGCAGATGAAGGCTTGGATTGGCTGACTTACATGTTTCCATAAATATGTTTACACTCCAAATGAGGGGGATAACGACAATGTTCTGATCATTTAAGCATCATTGTGCCCATGCTTAGCCAAGCCCAGGGAATAAGGGACAATACTGTTTGTCCTCAGAACAAATTGGACAAAGCCAGGAAGAGACAGATTGCCCTCAGAAGAATATTGACCAGTACACATACATAAGTATGTTTACAGGAAGAACTAGGACATTTACCTGTATGTATTCTTCTTACAACAAACAAGACATTTGGACAGAAGGTAATTAATCATTATTCCTCTGGTGTTTGGTAAACAGTAAAAGTTTGTTAGGCCAATTAAGACCCACATGGTTATCATTATGGAAAATTTGCACCAATGATTAATTGAAAAATTGTCACAGTGATTCAATAGTTTTTAAGCAAATCTGAAAAAGGAAGTTTTACTAAATTGTGAATATGTTTTTCTCACAGGGACAGACATTGTTCTGATGACCTTTCTTTTGTTGTTGTTGTTGTTGTTGTGTGTGCACATGCATATGCCAACTAAAATCTTTCTT